AGGTGGGATTGCTGGGGTTGGAATACTGAGATGTATCCATACAGGGAAGATTTTTTTTTTTTTTTTTTGCATGGGAAATAGGCAAAATGCCACATCATCTGGTTCCTCCTCCTCCTCTTCTCCCTTGCCACTTCCAGTCGGGGACGGGAGAAGAATTAGGCACAAACAAGTCAGCTGTAAGAGACTGGGAGCAGGGGACAACAGTCGAAAAGGACTGCTGCCACCAGCAACTCCACAGTCTCACTTTTATTAGATAGAAACAATAGCCAACAGAAGGACCGATGAAGGTCAAACGTTAGTCACATCTTGCGGACAGGCCACGAGGAGGACAAAGTTTAGTGTTAACCAAGCACATTCAAAGGACTCATCTAACTAACGGGCGCTTCTGGGAAGAGAAAGGAGAGATAACGGAGAAGGGAAGCAGGCAGTTTTCGTCCCACCCTAAGCTGACCGGGCGTTCCCGGGTGCTCGGCTTCCCTGAAGCAGTCCGCGTTCCTCCCTGGGCGGGCCGGGCCTAGGCTGCCCGGCTTCCCGGGCTGCCTGTCTTCTGTGAAGGGGCGGCCTTCCGCCCTGAGCGAGTCGGGCATCCCCAGCTGCCCAGCTTCACGGTGGTATATCGTCCTTCTTCCCAAAGACCTGTTGCCAGTATGTTTTTTCTTAAGGCCATATCTAAACGTGCTTGGCAACTAGTAAAATCCTCCAGGGGTTACAGTTTAAGTAACAAATTGTTCCGAGGGGCAGCAGCACTCCCTCCCCCCTCCTTTTTTTTTTTTTTTTTTTTTTAGGGGGGGTAGTGTTAGGGTCCGTGATCAAAGGAACGAGACTGACACAAAGCAAAAATCAAACAAAGCTTTATTTCGCACCAAGCATCGAAAATCAAACAGACCGGTCGGGGCCATCTCTTACGAAGAGGCGACGATGAGGACGCCACTCCCGAGGAAAAAGAGTCGATGACAACGAGGACGATAACGCCGCTCCAGCGAGGCCGCTCCCCGGACGAGGCTGCTCCCCAGACAAGGCCAATCCCGACGTCTAAGAGGCAACGAAGACGAGGACAACCCCTAGGACACAGATTCTGCTCCCCATGACGGCACTCTGACAAGGCCGCTCCCTGGAAGACGCCGCTCCCCAGACGAGGCCGCTCCCCTGTGAGGCCGCTCTGGTGAGGCCACTCGCGGCAGGGCCCTGGCTCGGGTTGGCGAGGCCGCTGGCGGCAGGGCCCAGGCTTGGGGCATCGAGGTCGCTCCCGGCGGCGCTGCTCCCAATGACTATTACCCGAGGTTGGCTCCCCACGACTACCACTCTAACGACTACCCTAATGGCTAGCCCAACGGCTACTCTAGGCCTCACAGACTAACCTTTATAGAGGTGGTTGAGCCCGGCCCCCACACAGGTGGCCAATGAGATTTCAACTCACCACAGTAAATATATGCACGCCCCACTGATTGGATGCCTATATCCGCGTTTCCAAGTAAGTTCCTCTGGGAGGGGCGGGGTCAATCTAAGTTTACAACCAAATGGCTCCCTCTGGTTAAAGGGGCAGAGGGAGAGAGAGAGAGAATCTTAAGCAGGCTCCAAGTCCAGCACAGAACCCAATGCGGGGTTCAGTCTCACAACCCTGAGATCATGACCTGAGCAGAAATCAAGAGTTGGATGCTTTACAGACTGAACCACCAGGCATCCCGGACGTGAAACTCACAAAGTTGACTCTAAAACTTCAGTCTATTTGAAGAGCAACAAGATGTTTATTAGTTCCAAATTCTGAGTGAAGGTACTCTGTATCTAAGTGACACTATAATAATAACTTTGTGATATCGTGTGTCACTCCCCCATCAGTGAATGCGGGAGTAAGTGCCCCTTGTGGAGTCTTTAAGCAACATTGCAACAAGGCTGTTTAAATTATACTCAGTGGCATATGGAATTAAAGGAATCTTTACACTCACAGCTCCTAGAAGAGGAGGAACCGTACCTCATACAAGCGGCCAGATGGGAGGCCAGATGGAGCCAGGCAACTGGCTCAACCAAGCAGGTGGGGAGCCCAGAGAGAGAGAGAGAAAGGACCCCTAAGCAAGTGTCATTATTGGGAGTCAAGGGGGAGTACACAAATGACTTAAGGGAATTCATTAATGCCCTGGAATGTCACTAGATCACAGAGAAGGACAAGAAAAGGAAGTTGTACAGGAGACTAACCTTATTATCACACTGGGGTACCTGCTCACGTGGGTGGGGTGCTCACAGCCTGTATGTAGGATGTTGAGGCAGCAGGAAAACGTGTTTTTTTTTTTTTAAGATTTTATTATTTATTTGACACACACACACACACACACACACACACACACACAGAGAACACCAGCAGGCAGACAGAGAGAGAGGGGCAAGCAGGCTCCCTGCTGAGCAGAGAACCTGATGCAAGGCTTGATCCCAGGACCCTAGGATCATGATCTGAGCCAAACGCAGAGGCTTAACCCTCTGAGCCACCCAGCGCCCCAAAACGTGGTTTTAAAACATTTACAGTACAGTGTGACTGCTCGCTCCATGAGGAAATTTAAAATGTAAAATTTAAAATTTGGGAAACTGCGGAAATTTCGGTGCGTCCCCTCTGGGAGTATCCGATGCTGCCCCCTTCTTCTCTGGAGCCTCCGCCCACCCTCTCCCAGCGCCCCGGTCCTAGAAAGTGCAGAGGAACATTTCTCGTTGGGTACGAGGCAGGACAAAACTACATTACCCAGAAGGCCGTGCCGCACGAAGGGGCGTCGCTGGGCCCGCTGGCAGAGGCGGGACTTCCGGCGTCGCGGGTGGGCGTGCCTGTGACGTAGCGGGGGTGGCGGGCTGTGAGTTCCCGGCGGCTCCTCCGGTGGGTGGGGAACAACGGCGACCGGCCTTGCCCGCATCCCTGTGGGACGCGGGGGAGGGCGGGCCGAGCCCGTAGGAGCCCCGTGGCCCGATGGCGCCGTCCGTGGACCCGGCGCAGGTGAGTGGACGTGCGGGGAGACGGTGGCCTGCGCCCCTGAGCCTCCCCGCTTTCCCGGCCGCCGTTTCTCGGCGCTCGGGGTGGGGCCTTCTTGGCTCCAGAAGGCAGGTCGGGGTCCCGTGGGGGAGCGCCCATCTCGTTGGCAGCGGGTGGGATGCTGTGTGGAAGGTACAGGCGTGGCTCCTGCAGTCCCCCTGCCCGCTTCCCGCCCCGCTCCGCCCCGTGTGTCCCGACCCGTAGTGCCCAGCGCGGATTCTGGCCGCGCCCCTTCCCGACCCCGTGACCTTGAGCGAAGTCCTCTCCCAAGCTGGACTCGTGTGTTCTCAGGTGTGAAACGGAGGAGTATGTACAGTTCCTCGTCCTGGGTTGAGGGAACTAGAAAGGGTCCGTGGGTGTTGTGTGTCCCCGGTGTCCAGCAGGGTCCCGGGAGCATCGCTCTGGGACCTTTCTCCTCGGAGATGTCTCCTGAGCCTGTGTTGGTCTTGGCTCAGCCCAGTGGGAGTCTCACCGCTGCGCCTTCCTGGCCTCTAGACGCTAAAGCTACGGGCTGGGGTGGAGGAGCCGCAGGAGTGGTTTTTTTGGAATTGCTGCCTTGCTAGGGCAGAAAAGTTGGAAGGGCAGGCTGGGAGCCAGGAAGGCCAAGCAGTTTTATCTATCCGTTTACAGCAAATGGAGCTGGCTTTCCCCTGACAGTAGTGAATCTGTTTTCACTCAGTTTAAGACACTCAGTTAGATTTGAAAAGTGAGTCCATTCAAATGGCCGGTGATGATAGTGTGCAGTAGCGTGTGCCATTGGACACAAACGCCCAAGGGGATCCAGGTGAGTCACCAGCAGTCAGCCCTGTACCCTCTTCATAGCCTTGATCATGGTCAGCGCTTGTCTCACTCCCATCCACGGGGCACCCTCCCTCACTTTATTTCAGACGCACTCCAGTGTGCCATCCTGAAAGATGCCTTCCGTGTTGCACCACGTAAAGTGGACTACAATCTTTTTAGTCTCCTTGCTCTATTTTCTTGTCTTTAGATTCTTTAGGGCCCTCTGACATTGTCTTGCTGATTTTAGTTGCTTATTTAGGATGTGTTTCCAGCCCTGGATCCTGAGCGCCTGTTGCTGCCCTATGCCAAGACCTAGAACGGCCTGGGCTTGTAAAAGGTACTCAATAAATGGTTGAATGAGTGAATGGGTCTCCCCTCAGGGGCTCCCATCATACTTATATCAAATGCACGCAGCCCCCTCTGTGGCCCTCAGGGCTCTGTTCCATCTGCCCCGAGACTTACCTCAGTGCTCCCCTTCGGATCTTTCCGTGCTCACTGCACCCAGCTGGGTGGTACTGAACTTGCCAAAGTCCTTCCCATATTGCAGCCATTGCCCTTGCACTTTCCTCTGTCCCAGGCCCCGTCCCCACGTCCCTGCAGGGCTGTGCCCTGTACTCTGTACTCCTGTGCATCCGTGTCACCACTTAGAATAGGCTTTTTTAAGGTGCCTGTTTTCTGGTAATGGCTGTCATCTTTTACTGGGTGTTCAGATCCTTTCTCTGCTCCTTAAAAGTGAGACTGTGGGAAACTTTATAGAGCTTCCTGAGCCTCCGGCTGCTGGAGGTAACGGTGGCATTCACCTCGTGGGCTGTGGGAGGGTTAGTAAAAGTCACAAAATACACTGAACACATTCCAGGCCAGGCACTCCACTGTTTGCCATGTGAACATTTTCTCTTTACTTCTCAGAACTGCCTGGTGAAGTGGGAATGGTTAATTGTACTGATGTGGAAGTCAAAGGTTAGAGAAATGATGGGATGTCCGCCCCGTGGTCATAGCTGGCAAGTGTCTGATTCAAGAGTCTTAATAAAGTCACTGGGAGTCTGGCTCCAGAATAGGGGATTTTTAGTCACTTTATCTCCGTGTGAAGAAGCCCTCAGCTGGGGCGGGCCAAGGGGAGGACCAGGGAGACTGAGCTACTGTTGCCGCAGTTCTCATTGTTGGGATTATTGTCGTGATCACTTTCCCTGTTCCTCTGATGTCCCAGATCACCTACTGTCTGCCCCCATGGTCTTCATGGGAATGCTACTGTCTGTTATCTCCAGCAGCTTCCCAGAGGAGGTTTTCTCTCAGCCATGATTGCATTATGTCCAAAGGCTGCACGTATCTCCCCCTTGAGCCCAGCACAGAGCTCTGCCCTCAGGAGGCCTCAGTGAGTCAGGCCTGGGTCTCTTCATATCTCGACCAGAGACTGAGTTATAGGGTTCTGACCCCATCCAGCAGCACAAGGTCAACATCATTACCTCTGTTTGATTTTTCAGGTTTTGGTGACCTTCAAGGATGTGGCTGTGACCTTCACCCAGGAAGAGTGGGGACTTCTGGACCTGGACCAGAGGGCCCTGTACCAGGAGGTGATGCTGGAGACCTGTAGGCTTCTGGTCTCATTGGGTAAGGGCTCACCTCTCATCCCTGTGGGGCAGCCCAGCCTTCTTGATTCCTGGCTGATTAAGGTCACATGAGCCATCTTCCGTCTTCCCCAAAGACCCTGCAGTTTTCTGAGTCCTTGTCCTTCTACCTGGTCTCCCTGTAATCAGGTCTGCATCAGGGATCATTTGGATAGAAACAGCCTCCTTCTGAACGCAGACTCACCCCAAGACCCAGCACACTCAGGCTGCGGTGTGATGTCCATATTCTAGACTACACAGGAGTCTATTGGGTTAGGCGTCCGGGATCCAGTTAGCACAGCTGTGAGTGATGGGTTGTTCTCAGGAGAGAGGGTAAGGCAGGCAGATCCCCATATTTGTCATCAGTGCCCCAGGGATCTTCCTGAACAACACAGTCTCTGTAAAAAGACCCGTGGTGTCTTCATGATCATCACATGTTCTCCTGAGGCCTAGGTCACAGCCCTCCACTGGGGCAGGAGATGCTTTAGAAAGTGCACAGGAATGTTACAAAATGCCAGGGGTGGACACCTTGAGAAAGCCAGTCCTTTGACCGCCTCAGTCTAGAATGTTGATTGGTGTCAGGAGAAAGTCTCAGAACAGTGCTGAGTATTTCAGGTGCCCTAATTGTGGGTAATTTTTCCAGCAGAAGGAACAGCCTCTGGCTCACAGTCCGGAGCTCTCTGCATGAACTTGCTGGGCTCTGATGGCATTACTTTGATTCTGTTGTTGTTTTGATGGTAATCTGCCATTTGTGGAAAGTGAACTTGACTTTTTTCATTTACCGCAGCAAAACAAGAGTTCCATTTTAGAACAAAATACTTAACAAAAATTAAATGGGGTCCATTTAAAGAGAAGCCATCAGTGACAATGACGCCCTGTGTGTGAGAATACAGACCAGTCACTCTGAGTTCAGGTGGGAAGGTGGACGCCAGTTCTTAGATGAGTTGTGATGAGTTGTACGTAGGAGAGTTAGGGGAACTTAGGAGTGTTTAGCCAGGTGGTCATTACCCATCATGGGTGCTGCAAAGAAGGCATTTCAGGGAGTGACATTGGAACTGAGCATTTGAAGCTTGGAGGAGAGGTGGAGGAGGGGTTCCAGGTAGAGGAACCATATAAGAAAAGGTCCTGAGGGGCGCCTGGGTGGCTCAGTGGGTTAAGCCGCTGCCTTCGGCTCAGGTCAGGATCTCAGAGTCCTGGGATCGAGCCCTGCATTGGGCTCTCTGCTCAGCAGGGAGCCTGCTTCCTCCTCTCTCTCTGCCTGCCTCTCTGCCTGCTTGTGATCTCTGTCAAATTAATTAATTAATTAATTAATAAAAAAAAAAAAAGAAAAGAAAAGGTCCTGAGGTGAGAGTGGGCTCAACTCCTGTCAGAGCCAAAGGAACGTCTGGTTCACCTTTTCTGCTGCCCCTCCCTGAGCTCAGTGCCAGGCACATAGGACACATCGGTGACCATTGCTGGGACCTGCCCGAATGAGTCCCAGCCTGAGGGTCAGAATCTGCCAGTGGAGACTTCCGTGGGTCCTGATGCCTCAGCCCTTGAAATTCTGTGCGGAACCCACCTGGCTGTGTTGAGCCGAATCTGGCTGCATGAAACAAAAACAAGCTGGAGAGTGGCTTTCCTTGAAGGAAATTCCTCATCTTGCCTAATGGGAAGCCACAGGGTGGGGCTGCCCTGGGTTGGAGGTTGCGGCTACACAGTTCTGTCCTCAGTGATGTGAAGGTTCTCTCTGCTCCTCTCCCTGGACCAGGCATCTCCCTGTTCCTCAGGCTGGCTCCCTTGCAGGCCTGTGGGGTGCTGTAGCCAGGACTGGGGAAGCAGCCCCCTTGTTCAGCCTCCTGTCCTACTGGAATAAAGGCTTTGTCTTCAGCTCAGGTTACCTGCCTGTCTCAGATTACCAGTCCCATCAGAGATGCTATTCACTGATTTCTTCCCCTGGCATGTTTTAGTTCTCTTGGGGAGAGAGAATTCCCCAGTGAGAGAGCCCAGAAATACTGATGGCTAGCCTCAGCCCAAGCACTTTTGTTTCTTTCTGTTTGAGGTTGGAACCAAGCATCCCTAAGTGTTTCTGAAGCACAGGGTGTTCGAGAACAGTGACTTAGATTAATTACAGGATCCCTTCTGGAAGGAGGGGCTCCCCTTCCCAGGGTCCCATGGCTATGTGTGAAATGGCTTTTTGCCGATGAGATTCAAAGACATTGATGTTGTCTGGACGGACAGGACTACGTTCTGTGGCAGTTGAAGCCAAGAATGGGATTTGTGCGCTTGGTTTCCAGGTCAGAGGTCAGCATTTTCTTCATAGCTTCATCCAGGTCTTGGCCCTGCCATGAAGTCCCAGATGGGATGGAGATACTGCTTTCTTCTTGTACACCATGACTTGTTTCTTTCTCCATCAACAGGGCATCCAGTTCCCAAAGCAGAGTTTGCCCACCTGCTGGAGCATGGGCAGGAGCTGTGGACAGGAAAGGGAGGCCTCTCCCGTAGCACCTGCTCAGGTAGGGGCAGACAGGTGGTCGGGGGTGGGGGGTGGTCAGGGAGACTTCAGCAGGCAAGGAACCAGTGCCTCTGAACTTTGTGTGAAACTCCTTGTGACCTCTTGGTCACATTCCTGGAGAACATGAATGAGATGAGATGCAGTCTGCTAATCTCTCAGATGAGGAAATTGTGCTTTGAAGAAGAAAGTAACCCGTCCAAGACCACTCACTGGGTAGAGGCGGGACTGGAACAATGGCTTTCTGGCTGCAGAATGCTTTTAACCACCACGTGATGCCTCCCAGCAGAGCAGAAGCTTGTCATTTATACCATTGGTCTTGGAGTGTTCCTCCATCCCTCTTCTTCAGTCTTAATTTTCTTCCTTTCATGGTGATCACCCTTCAGTGTTGGCTTCACCAGGCATCTGGGGCCCTCTCTTCCTTTAACTGTTCAGCACTCCCCAAGAGTGACCCTACCCATGCTTATTCCTTCCATTCCAACCCAGTGCTCCTTTCCTCTTCCTCTCTCTGGCAATTCTAATTCTCCACTGGGACCTAGCTCATGGGACACTTCTCCGGGAAGATGATCTCTTTTTCTTCTCAGTCCTATCTGGTGCCACTTCTGTGTACTCTCTTAACACCAAGAGATACCAATTCTTGAAGCAAATACCCCACAGACAGTGTTCTCAAAATTGTCCTCCCTCCTCTTCTCTGGACTGTGAGGAGGGGTCTCCACTCCAGATCCTCGGTTCCCTGGTCCAGCCTGTCCTTGGGTTTTTCCCTTGAATGGTGTCAAGGCTACAAGGACCGTAGACAGTCATTGGAAACCCAGGATCCAGAGGTGGGGAACACAGCAGTCCCAGGGCGCTGTTTCACCCTCACTTTCCCACTGAAGCGTTGAGTTTGTTTCTTCCATATTGAATCACTTAAAGTCCCCGTCTGTGTGTTGGCTTCTCTGCAGGTGACAGCATGAGACTTCAGACCAGGGACCCAAGCACTCCTCAGCCGGTTTTGTCTGAGGGAGCCTCGCTCCAGGGAAGCCTGACTCAGGGATCTTCAAAGGACTCCAGGTTGGCGCATGCCAAGGACTGGGAAGGGCTTGTGGAAATGCAGAAAGGTCAGCTGAAGCCTGGGACAGATGCTCAAAAAGAGACCCATCTTGGGAGAATGAGCCTTGAAGATGACAGTTTGGGGACAGAGGATAATCTGCACTCCAGGGTGTTACAGGAAAGAGTGTCTCAGGGACATGTTCTCCGTGAATGTGACCCACAGGGACGCAGTAAAGGCCGTATGATTCATGCCGGGAATATTCTCTACAAATGCAAGCAGTGTGGGAAGGGTTTTAACCGGAAGTGGTACCTCGTTCGACATCAGCGGGTTCACACTGGAATGAAGCCCTATGAATGCAATGCATGTGGGAAAGCCTTTAGCCAGAGCTCAACCCTTATTCGCCACTACCTCATCCATACCGGGGAGAAACCATACAAGTGCGTGGAGTGCGGGAAAGCCTTCAAACGCAGGTCCTACCTTGTGCAGCACCATCCAATTCACACTGGGGAGAAGCCCTACGAGTGCAGCCAGTGTCGAAAGGCCTTTACCCACCGCTCTACTTTTATTCGGCATAACAGGACCCACACTGGAGAAAAACCCTTTGAGTGCAAAGAATGTGAGAAATCCTTCAGCAACAGAGCACACCTGATTCAGCACTACATCATCCACACGGGAGAAAAGCCCTACGATTGCATGGAGTGTGGGAAGGCCTTCAGATGCAGCTCGGAACTCACGCAGCACCAGCGGATTCACACCGGGGAGAAGCCCTATGAGTGTGCCCAGTGTGGGAAAGCCTTTCACCGGAGCACGTACCTCCTTCAGCACTCTGTCATCCACACAGGGGAGACGCCGTATAAGTGCCTCGAGTGTGGGAAGGCCTTCAAACGCAGGTCACACCTCCTGCAGCACCAGCGGGTTCATACTTGAGAGAAGCGCTCTTGGTGCCGTGAATGTAGAAAGGCCTTCGCCTGCTGCTCCTCTTCTGTCCGTCTTGAGGGGAGCACAGTGGAGGAAACAAAAACAAAACAAAAACCCTCTCAGTATAAAGAATGTCGGAGAGGTTGTTTTTGGGTCTTCAGGCACATGAGTAGTCATACTGGAAAGGAGGCCTGTGATGCAGTGAACATGAGAAAGCCTCCAGCCACTGCTCTCCGCCCACTCATCATGGGGTTCACACCGGAGAGAATTTCGAGAAGGCAGGTCACCCATGGGTCCACCTCTGTCAGCGTCAGAGAAAGCCTCAGGTAAACACATTCTGAACACAACTACTGAGGAGTCTTTAGCCAGAAGAAGATACTTACTTACCATCTGACAATGTGTAACAAACGGGAACCACATCCTTGTCATTGCTGTGAGAAAACCTGTGACAGGTCAGCACTTAAGAATCAGATGGAATGGGACACAGCATAGGCCTTACTGTGAGAAGGATGTGGGAGACAGGCAGTGGGTACTGTGCACTTAAAAAAACCTCTGACCACAGATCTTCCCCTTGGTTGATGCTTGGAAAGCCATCTCAGCATTATTTTTTAAAAGAAGGAAAAGGGAATGGAAATCTAGACTATAAAAGGAAAAAACAAATGTCTTCACAAACTGTCAGATTTCCCTGCCAAACCTCTTACAGTTTTTCATCAGTTTTATTATTTTGGTGGGGGAATGTTGGAGAGAAATGGTCTCAGCCCTTCATTTTTACGTGTATTTACGGCTCTTCTGTGTCAGGAAGCTTGGATCTTGAGGACAAATCTAGAGACATTTGCTGGAAGCCTTGCTGCACACATCTCTACCCACAAGGAGCATAATTCTTTGTGAGAAATGTCAAGTCTGAGTCATGAGGTACTTGAACTTAGAAGAAGGTAGAATTTTTTTTTTTTTTTAATTTATTCATTTGACAGAGAGAGATCACAAGTAGGCAGAGAGGCAGGCAGAGAGAGGAGGAAGCAGGCTCCCTGCCAAGCAGAGAGCCCGAGGCCGGGCTCGATCCCAGGACCCTGAGATCATGACCTGAGCTGAAGGCAGAGGCTTAACCCACTGAGCCACCCAGGCGCCCCAAGAAGGTAGAATTCTGAAAGTAACATCACCTGCCACTTGCCTCTGATGTCTGAGAGCAGGGTCCGCATACAACAGCCGCATTAAAACATGCTCCCTTGGGACTGCTTAAGGCTTTGGTATTTGTAAGTAAAACTCCTGTTTCTATGGTTTTTAAATGCCCAATGTTCTCTCTCCCTCCCTATTTCTTTCTTTCTTTCTTTCTTTTTTTTTTTTAATTTTATTTATTTATTTGACAGAGATCACAAGTAGGCAGAGAGGCAGGCAGAGAGAGAAGGAGAAGCAGGCTCCCCGCCGAGCAGAGAGCCCAATGTGGGGCTCGATCCCAGGACCCTGAGACCATGAGACCATGACCTGAGCCGAAGGCAGAGGCCCAACCCACTGAGCCACTCAGGTGCCCCTCCCTCCCTATTTCTTGATTCCATTCTGCTCTTCTGTTTTCTTCATTTGCCCCTGACAAATGTGGATGTGGACTTCTCAGCCAGGGCCTAATTCCTTTGTGTTGTTGGGGTTTCACAGGTTAATCCTGTGGGGAGGACTATGTATTTCCCAGGCCCTCTCCACAGCCTTCTGGGGCTCACATTATTGCTAAAATCAGTGAAATGAAACACTCAGCTGAGGCAAAGTCATGATATGCCCAGAAAAATAGTATTCTTGTTGTCTGATCTTATAAATGTGAAGTTTGGTTTCAAATAAAGTGTCAGGGATTTGAAGAGGAGACTCCAGTTGTGTACATGCAGGGGTTGGGTTTGTGTGGGCTTTACAGTTGCCACCGTGGACTTCTGTTCCCTGGGGGCCAGCACTGGAGGTGGTCATTTGAAATTCATCCTGTGGACTGTCCTTCAACACTAGTTTTCAAGGTATACAAGGTAATCAATGTTAATGGGTTAAAAATGTGCAGAAAAATATAAAGTGATAATTTCCTCACTTGGAGCCTTCCTCACATCGTTTTAAAAGACTACATACACAGTTCACATGTTCATAGTGGGCATGTGCCTATTTCGTGGCACACATAGTATGATTGCCTTCTTGGTGAGTTTGTAAGAGTTTTTGTTTGGATAGTGTGCGTGGTTTTTTGTTCTTTGGAAAGGACATTTGACTCAAAGATCCCTGCCCTCTTCTGTCCTCTCTCTGGAGGATGGTGTGTGTTGTAGCTGTGGTTGTACTTGTGGCTGAGCCTTACTTCAAGAGAGTTGGAGAAACCCCTCTGGAAACATCATGGTTTTTATCAAAGGTTCTTTGCGTGCCTGGAATGCTGACCCCAGTTTGTTCCAAAGCAGAAGTGATGCATTTTCCACTAGATGGACATCTGAGGATTTGTTCCCTCAACTCCAAGGTCTTCCCATATAGTTTTAACACGTTCAGTGCCAGGACCTACTATATACTTGCTGCTGGCTTGGCAGGGGTCTCCTGAGACCTCCATCCTTCCTCCACATGACCACTTATGTGTTCTGGGCACACTGAGGAGTGGGGTGCCTGGGTGACTGAGGTGGCAGTCCTGTCCTTGAGCACAGAGGGAGCTTGATGCCTAGGGTAGGTGAGCAGAGTACACTGGAATCTAAAAAGAGAAGGAAGTTGAGCACATGGCTTTGCTGGATTCTTAATCACCTTGAAAATTTTGTCTCCAAAACAGTATTCTTCTCCATTCGTGAGTGCACTCAGGATACTCAACTTGAAGGGAGGGTGGTAATGACTTAGTAAAGTTAGGATAAGCAGCAGAGTGGATTCTTATAAATGGCTAAGAAAGTGAAGGTGACATTTGGTGCTCCAAGAAATCATTTATTGTACATCTTATGAGTGTCTTGGACTCTTAGATATATGAGTTTCACAAAACTGCCGCTTGCAGACGGCGCACGGGAGAAGAATGAGGCACAAACAAGTCAGCTGCAAGAGAAAGGGAGCAGGGGACAACAGCAGAAAAGACTGTTGCCCCAGAACAACAACAACTCAGTCCCGTTTTTATTAGGTATAGACAGTAATCAACAGAAGGGCCGAAGAAGGCCACACATTAATCATATGCCTTGTAGATAAACAAGAAGGAAGGCAAAATAAGTCTGGTCAAGCAGTATAAAGTTTATAGTTGAGTGGCACATTCAGAGAGCTCATCAAATTAGCCACAGGTGCTCTCCGGGGAAGGGGAGATACGGGAGAATGAAGCAGGCGGTGTTCTGGCCTGAGTGGCCCGGGCGTCCCCCGGCTGCTTGGCTTCAAAGCTGTATATGGTCCCTTCCCCCAGAGGCCTGCTGCCAGTATATGTTTTTCTTAAGGCTGCATCTAAACATGCTTGGTAACTAATTTCTCATGGGTTATTTTTAAGTAATACATTGTTCTGAGGGACAGTTACACAAAATAAGAATTTTGCCCTCATGGAACCTACTTTCTGGCTGAGGAAACAACAATGTTCCTAACTCCCATAGCATGTGAGAAGGGGATGGGTTCTGTGGAAAAGAGAAGAGCAGGACAGCAGTGAAGAAAAAGGGAGGGAGGAGTCCTGACATTAGGATGTTTGCATTAGGGCTGGTACAGATGATGCATTCTGGCATGTATTTTAGATGGTGAAAGAACAATGTATTTCTTCCTTTCTAATGTGTATGTATATGTTTTTCCTGGCCGTACAGCATGAGGTAGTTTCTGTGGAGTAATGCTGAAGGCCAAGTGATCCCAATTATTTTTTTGTCTCTGATCTTAAGTGAAATATTAACATCATACATATGGCGTGTGTTGTAGAATATTTTAAATGTTTAAGGAAAACCCATTCTACACTTAAAAAAAAAAAGCCAAAAATGGGTGAATTAGCATCAAATGATATCTTTTGCGTCATCTGATTATGATACATACATTTTGTATGAAGTGGTAAAATGTGTTGATTTTTGAATTTTTAAAAATTTCAGTTTTCGGGCACCTGGGTGGCTCAGTTGGTTAAGCAACTGCCTTAGGCTCAGGTCATGATCCCGGAATCCTGGGATTGAGTCCCGCATCGGGCTCCCAGCTCTGTGGGGGGTCTGCTTCTCCCTCTGACCTTCCCCCCTCTCATGCTCTCTCTCACTATCCCTCTCTCAAATAAATAAAAATCTTTAAAAAAAAATTTTCAGTTTTCATCTTATAGTACAAGAATAGTACAAGATACTCGTGTATAAATTCTGCCCAGATTAAACAGTTGTTTGTTCTGTGTCTTTTGTTTTATCAGTCTCTCCCCCAGACGTACACGTGTGGGTTTCTGAACAATCCGAATTAATGGGGAGATACATTGCCTCCATACTAGTGGATGCTTTGGTGCGTGTTTCCTAAGGGCACATTTTATATGATCAGAATATTATAATCAGAATATTCTGTATTGGTAAAATACTATTAAGTAATCTACAGGGCATGTCCAGATGTTACCATTGGTCCTAATACTGCCCCTTGGTGTCTGTGGGTCCGTGACCAAACCCAGAACAGCATGAGGCATTTGGTTGTCACTGTTCTCCACTCCTTAATGAAACAGTTAATCAGGCTTTGAGTTCCATGGACATGATACATCATGTATTTTGTAGAATTTCCCTCTGTTTCTCTAATGTTTCCTAATGATATTTTGCTCTTGCATTGTTTTACACTGAAATAACAGAAATGATGCTGTATCTTTCATAGTACTTCATATTGGGAGGTACGTGATATCCGTATTTACCAATACGGATAGCAACTTCAGTCACTTCTGTACGTTTGTGTTCTTGACTCAAGAATTACTATTTCCCTTTATTTTTTGTAACATTTTAAGAGTTTATTTGTGCAAAAATTGATTCAAATCAGGCAGCATCTAATCCAGCAGATAGAAGGGAACTCCAAGGAGCTGTACAAAATGAAATACTTTTATAAGGGAGAAGGAAGTAGGAACAAAGAAGTGATCCGAGGCAAAAGGTGGGTTGGTTCATACAAGGTCACTTTCCTTTAGGAGATGGCTGGAGGCCCTCAGGCAAAGTACCTGACTAGTGCTGATCAGGAGATCCTGATGGTTTATGGTTCCATTTTTGGGAGGGCCAAACTGTAATTAAATTAAGTCTTGGTTGGGTGATATAGGGCTTAAGATAAGGGGCTCCGTGTAGGGCCTGTTGTTTTATTTCCCTTTATTTGTAGTATGTAGTTACTCAGAAGATGTTCTGAAACTGTGTGACGATACTGATCCACGTCAGTGTTTCAGCCCATAGCTTCAGCCACCACTGATGATCCTCAAGTCCCATCAGTCTTCCCACATTTATTAGTTGGCATTCTACTTTGGAAGTAAGTTTCCCCATGGATTGTTCACTCATTTTTATTAATTTACATCCGTATGGAACGATGCATGCTTAAACATATAAGTGGGCCATGCATTGTGATGCTTGACTCTCCAGGCTCAGCTCAGGGGAGCTCCTTCCACCTTCTTTGTCCCCTTTTAACGTCACCATCCCACTGTGAACACAACTTTCTGGTATAAGAGACTTATTTCCAACTTGACAGAACCCATGGTATTAACTTTACAGCACACACGTTTTAACAGCAGTCACAGGAATCTGAAGACAATTGAATTACATAAGCAGCCTCATGCCCAGAAAATACAGAAAATAACATGGCATCTGGTTTTCCACGTAAAAAATAATCAGTAAACATCTGTCCTAGTTAAGGGGCACCTGGGTAGCT